AAGAATAACACACTAATCACAGAGCTGCACTAATTACACTGTACGGAGAAACACTTGGAGAACTGAATAATATAAACACTGGTAGTTGAGGCACGATTCTCTTAGGCACTTAATGTAGCTTACACCATTGAAGTAATCGGACAAACGTAAATTGATGTATGGAAATATGCAAATTTATTCACTATGCTATACATAGCTGTCACTTATCACGGAATTTACTAAGTCTGAAAAATTGCAGATAAAAAATAATATCTTCTGAACTAATTGTCCAAATTTCACCAAATTTTGAAATGTCACTCTCTTAGTGACTGGAACAATGATGCTGGAACTGAAGTAGTTGCTTAATTATTTCCCGTGCATTCCCTGAAGAAACAATGCTCCACTTGCCAATATTCACCCTTTGTTAGTAGAATGGGAATCGGAAGCTACATACGCTATATGGCAGAAAATCCTCAACCATTTGGAGATCTGTGTGGCCTCAAATTATCATCCATAAAAATAGTCATTTTCAAGAGCTCCTCAGAAAAGCCTTACGCAAGGATCAAGAACCTCATCGCTATAATGCTTTGCCCGCATCAAAGTCATGCTGTGGTATATGGCCATTCACTATGATCCTACCCCACTCATTCTCACCAAAGTGGTCAATTTCAATATATTGTAGTGACAATAGTGGGTCTCATGTTACCATTAGAAGATGCATTTATCGAAAATCATTCTGAGCTTTGAATTGACTCTTCATTGAGGAGAACATGGTTTCAATTTTGTTGTACCTAAGAATGGTGAACTTAGCCCCACAAAAGAAAGTGCCGTTCTGTAGTCTATTAAGGAAGGCCCATAATCGCTGGTTGCCAGGGGTTCTGCAAGGTATCTGCATATAGTTTATCTGGAAAACTAATCCAGCAGTAAGGTCCTGGAAGAGCTACCCGTTGTCTAAGATGTTAATAAGTCTGGTTTCATTGACTTCAAGAAATCACAGTTTAGATATGGGGTGTACCATTTTCCAGTTTGGTGCAAATTCCTCTTTTCAGTGTCAGTGCTCTTTTTGAAAGAAGAAAATAATATGAATGTATCCAACTGTATGAATATTTTCTTTGAGAAATTCCACTTTTACTAAAGACATAAATTAGTACCTTTTTAGGGTTAGTGAATGAAATCTAAAGATCATTTTCATTATTATGAAAAGAGAAGAAAAGGAAAATATGTATTAATGTTTTTTTCTGCTATGGTTGCTGTAAATAATACAGGTTACATATGGCATGCTGGTAAATTATGACTAATACTGGCATACGATTTTAAGGCAGTTTTTATAACAGGATGTTTTGTTTAAGGAGGTTTTGATTGACCACAAAGAAATAGATGTATGGAAAAAAAAGTGTTTCACTCTCATTAGCCAAGAATGCTGTAGTGAACTCAATCTTAAGGTGACCACCTGTTTCATGATTTTGCATGGGTTTCATCTTTTGAGGGAATGATTGTTTTAAAGAAGTGATATTCAGTACTAGTATTTATTTATATTCTCAGAAATGCTGATCACTCAGAGAGATGGCTTCTATGAAAGGTATTGTATCTTACAACAGAAGGAATACAATAAATTCCAGCCTTAAAAATTTATTCACATAGACATCAAAACTGCAAACATAAGGGTTTTATGGATAGGAATGACAATATAATATTAATATTCTGTCATTGCCCATACTTTTTACTTTCTTGTATGAAGTAAAAAGGAAGTATTGTAATCGTGAAAAGTTTCAGGCAGCATATTTCAACGAAAATATCCATTTTGACTGCTATCAAATGCAATTTAATGATGTTTTTGTGTGACATCTGTATGTAAGAACAGAATAAAAGACTCTTTTCCTCCAAAAATATTATAAAACTGCTTTAAAATGAATTCTGAAGAGAATTTTTTGTGGTGTCGCATGTATTTCGCATAACTGAAATACGAGTAGCCTCAGAACGTTGAAATTTTGTATATAAAACTGCTATGACATGTAGATGTGCACCTGATATTTTGGTTGCAAACGACCACACCAAACGTATATAGTCAAAAGTCGTTAAATCGGACACCCATAATCTGGAATGATCTGTAATCTGGACCTCAAAGCCACAAACTTTCTGCGCATGTGTCGCGTTGACACATGTGCATAGGCGTTTATGCATGCACGTAAGATTTTTATGGCTGCGAATATGCGTGTGCACATGCGCATAATACATTTACGTACGCGTTTAATGTATAACAGACAGTATAAGCTAAGCTAAAATTATCTAATTCAGTTAATGTTGCAGATTGCGTTGTTCCTTAATCTTCGAATTGGATCCGGCTTATTATTTCTTGCAAACTGTTAGAGCAATTTTATAAAGTAAGCTTGTTGAACTTTTGATTATGTCAAATAGAACTTCCGATATATATTTACTATATGTAAAGGATCTACAAAGCAAAAGTATGTTTCAAAGTCCATTAAACAAAAAGTGGAATTGCTGCAAAAAATGGATAAAGGCATATCCTTTGTTTCTCTAACCATTCCGAAATCTGTTTATCAATTTCACGCTGCTCTGCGGGGGGGGGGGGGGGACTTTTCAGTTGTGGTGATTAAAACTGCATTGAATATATATTATTTCTGTTTATATGGACTTGTGCATTTACTGTATAATTTATTTCAAGGTCATTTAATATTTTAAAAGATGTTTGGTATATTATATAATATTTTCTCAACTTTTGTTATTTAAATTAATGGTAATTGATATTCTACTATATGCCAGAAGGTTTCACAGAAATGTTATTATTTCAATATATATATATACATAAATTCTAAACAGATTTTTCTATACAGATTTTATAGTTTTTACTTCTATAGAAGTCTAAAAAGTACTAATTTAAAATATAATTAAAATACTGCCTAAAATTTTTTCCTTATAATAATTTGTAGTTTTAATTGAATTTCTGTTCCTTGGAGATGGTATATGAATAAGTTTTTAAAATTTTATATATACACAGGTGTGCAAAAATTAAGGACGAGATGGTTTTTTCAATATAACTTTGTACAAAAGCTTTCCAAATCAACACATTTAATACCGTAAGATCCCCAATACGTAAGGACATGAGTAATGTAAGCAACACTTACTAAAAGAGAAATCAAAGGCATAAAAAGAAGCTTTATTGAAAAAGTAGCATGGAGTGCAATGCGACTGAAGGCCGAAACATCCCTGTGATGGGTGTCCAGCAAGAAACATCCGGTCTTTAATAGGGGATATGATCTCCCCTGACTGCTAGGCAGGTTTCACAGCGTCTGCCCATGCTGAGAATGAGGCTGTCAATGAGTTGTTGAGGCATTGCTGCCCATTCGTCTTGCAGTGCCAATCGAAGCTTCGGAATCGTTACTGGTGGTAAGGTATGAGCTGCCAAGCGTCTGCCTAGAAAATCCCATACATGCTCGATGGGATTGAGATATGGAGATCGTGCCAGCCAATCCATACATTCAATATCCTCACATTCTAAGAGCTGTTCGGCAGCTACTGTGCGATGACATGGTGCATTGTCGTCCATGAAAAGGAACTGCGGACCCATAGCGCCTCTAAAAAGACGCACATATGGAAGAAGAATCTTGTTACAATAACGGGTCCCGTTGACTGAACCTGCATCGAAGATGTGAAGGTCTGTACGACTACCAAGCATGATGCCTCCCCAAACGAGAACACCGCCACCTCCATACCTGTCCCTTTCAATGATGTTCGAGGGATGATTGTGGCTTCCCCGCTCTCTCCAGATGAGTATGCGATGAGAATCGCTACTCAGACTGAATCTGCTCTCATCTGTAATGAGTACTCGTCCCCATTCATTGTCTCTCCAATTCCGGTGTTCCCGGCACTACAGAGAACGCCTTCTCCAATGGGCAGGCGTTAGAGGTACACACCGTACAGAGCATTGTGCAAACAGACCACCACCGTGCAGTCTTCTGGCCATGTTAAAACGCGATATCGGTCGTCCAGTCGCCTGTGTTGTGTGTCTAGCGATTTCTCCCGCTGTCTGCCGCCTGTTTCTTCTGGCCTGTAAGGCAATATACCGGTCATCTGCGGGGTGTGGTTCCTTGTGGACGACCACCACTAAACCCCCGGATAGCTGTTCCTGTAGTTTGAAATTGTCTCCAAAGTCGTGAAACGATGCTTGTGAGCAATTCCGAAACTCTGCAAGCCACACTTGTCACACTGCGGCCCTTCCTCCAACTTCCCAATGATTCGACCTCGAGTAAAAGCATCCAGATGTCGTCTAACAGATTGATTATTCGCCATTTCTCGCTGAGGCAACAACTCAGTGTGATTTTAACTGCTATACGATGTGCAATCTCTTTGCCAGAAATATTGATCTTACACCGACAACATGCTTTATACTACTCATACACTCCCCCATTACGTCTACCTGCATATCTGCGCATGTGCTACCATACATCACCTTACTTAATCTCCTGATTGCTCTTTCTGTCCGCTCTGCCTCTTCGTTCAGCTGATATGCTAATTTTTCGACTTCGTCCATAATTTTTGCACACCAGTGTATACAGACACCTGCATTTTTATTTTAACTGACTTATATGTGATTCTGCATTGCCTGTCTTCAATATTGTTTCAAAATGTAATAGTGAGCTTTGCCACTCTGAACAGAATATAGATACACTTTATAATTACTTACATATTGTATATTGAGAAAAATTTTAAATTGTTCAGAACATATATTTTTTAAGCTTAATAAAATCATGACTGCTTCTATTAATTTAAATCAGGCTATCTTATAAGAACCACTAACTAAACTTATAAACTCACTAGCTGTACATTCAGAAAATATTTATGCGCTTTTCACGCTTCATTTTTCAGTTCATGAAATATTGCAAAATAGGTGTAGAAGTATGATGCAGCTTTTATTTGCTCTGCTTTGATTAGTAATATCTAATCTCATGATAATCATTACAAAGGTATTCTTTATGGAAACTGTTTCTTATTTTTTTTCCCAGAGGGGGTCATTTGAAACATAAATATGATGGAGAAAACAACAAAGAAAGCATTATTAATTTCATGAAAAAGTAAGTATTTATGTGTCATTTTGAACCTTTACTTAATCATAGTTATGTATTTAACATAACATTTTGAAGTATACTATTTAAATAATTAATGTTTTGGTATATCAAGAAGTTAACGAGTTGCTTGTTTTGCAACAGTTTATTAAACTTTACAGTTTAAATAAATTTAAGTTTGCTTTTTTTTTTTAATCTTTTATTGATATTATTACGTGTTTTTAAAATTTGAAGTCCAGAAAATCAGCCTGAAAAACCAAAAGATGCTGAATGGTCAGATACACCGAGTGATGTAGTCCATTTAACAGATGAAACATTTAATTCATTTCTTGAATCTGAACCATCTCTTTTAGTCATGTTTTATGCTCCATGTAAGTATGAGTTATTTATATTAAAATATTTTAAAAGATAAGTGTATGGATAAACTGTATGATAAAGTGTAATAACTGTATGGATGTTTTCAAGTTTTTTTTTTTCCTCCATAGATATGAGTTGAATTCCTTTAGAAAGTTCTCCATGAAAGTATCTGTTCCTATTAATAAATAGCGCTCATGGGTCAGGTTAAATGTCAAGTTTTTAGCTTTTGAGAGTTGGTTAGTTAAATAAACTTTTTCTGCTATTAGATTTTTTGCCATTTTAACTGTACCCTCACCGAAAAACTACAAAAAAGTATTGATGAAGCAGCACATCATTTCAGCAAAAAATATTTATATGACAACCTATTATGTCACCAAAAATATTTATGTGGCAACCTAGATATGTGTGTAGCACAAACATGTACAAGTATGTGTGTAACATGTACAATGTGGATGATTGGAACATGTACAAGTATTTTACATTTTTCAAATTCAGCAGTCATTTTTTCTGTTTAATGTTTATTTTTGTACTGAGCATTGGTTTTTGTCATAATAAATCATAACAGGACTGTGGAGTTTGCCAGCTGATGTAAAACAAAGCATTGCGTTTCTTAAATATGTAATTTTGCTTAAAAATAGAAAATGCAAAAATTTGCATTCTATGAAGTAATACTTCTTAAATGACTGAATTTTATGGAAATGCAATGTGAAAAATTGCAAGCAAACAGACACAGCTATCAACTGGTGTAGTTATTTCCAAGAAGTAATCATGTCTTCTACAAGAAAGAAAAAAATGAAAAGAGCACTGGAAGCATCATTGAAATAGCTGAAAAGATACCCAAACAAATGTTTCTCTCCAAAACTGTCCGTGAGTTCGTGAATTTTTTCCAACTTTGACAATAAGTTCTTGACTTTTCAGCTAGGGTGCAGATAACCAGAAAGTACCAAACTGAGTAATATTTAAAAATGCCAATTTGAGCTGTCATAGATTTCTTATTTTTATAAATTTCTGCTTTTCATCAGTAAAATATCCAGGAATCAAGCAACCAGGAAGCAGCAAATTCAAAATTCTGTATTATTCTATATGATGCCCATAAATGTAATGTACCTATGGAATATTATTCCAAGAAATATGTTGTTTATACTAATAATTCCTTCCTCTTCCTCAATACATGTGATTGCATTTAAAGCTATAAAAGTTTAGCCCATTTTTAAAGGGTAAGATGAAGGATGCTTTCTAGGGGGACTTTCAAAGGGAAACTACTTTGCATTCAAGAACAAAAATTCTTCTCAGCCAGCTTGTTTAATCACTGGGAATTGAATCCAAGATGTTTCATATTTTTTGTTCTCTCTATCACAACTTTTTTCTGCAGTTATTCATGAAATGAAAAACAGTGTAATTTTATGAAATTTCATTAAACTTGATTCTATAATATTATTTACATTCTCATTTTTTTTTTTTTTTTTTTTTCCCCAGGGTGTGGACATTGTAAGAAAATGAAACCAGAATATGTTTCAGCTGCTGCAACTATGAAAGAAGAAAATGTAACTATTTTTCATTTTAATATGTAGAACATTTCTAGAAATATCTCTGTTTAGTGACACAAGCCCTGTTCATAAGAGCAGATTTGACCGATAGCGAAAACTGGTTCTTCCAATGTGTCCCATTCACACGGCAAACAAGCATTAACTGCTTCTCCGAATTGGAGGTAGAATTTGATAGAATGTTCCTACCTCTCTGGAGCAGGGCAAATGGGAAGATTTCCCATATTACGTTGTGTGATTGCACGGTTCACTTAATTTTAACAAACAACAATGCTGACGTGCAACTGACTGCTCGCTGGACTGTCAGCAAAACAAATGCGTTGGTAAATATCTGGGGATGTGATATCATCCAAAAAAATTACATAGAACCGTACGAAATGCAGAAATTTGTAAACAAGTACAGACAAGGTTATTTGATGCTGAGTATTCCAGAAATACCATTCAAATTAAAACTAAAGACATGTATATCGGCTTCAGCGCGACTAGGTAACTTTTGAATTATTTTTTTATTTAAGAACTTTTATTTTACGTGCATTGTAACATCTCACATTTTCCTAAGTTGAAAGTACATGTAGTATGGAAATTTTGATTATTTCTATACAAATATTTTTTAGACAATTTCTGATTAGTAGCATATAAAAGAGGGGCAAATATTCTTTTTATGTTATCTATTTTGATTTAACACAATTCTAATAGAATCTTTTTTTTTAAATCTTATGAAAAGAAATACTTATGAGATATCCAAAATTGTCGCATTACCTAAACGATTGCTTTTAATTCCGAATACAACAATTAAAAATATCTGACTAATAAAAAATCTTTTTTTTTTTTTCATCACTTTTGTATTTTTATTAAATGGTTTTGTAAGGCAAAATGATTTTAAGCTGAAAAAAATTTTTTTTGCCAGTAACGTTTTTTAATTAAAAATTTTGTAAGAAAAGTTTAACAATTAAAATAGCTTTCTTCTCCTACAGTTTTCAATGTTTTACCCCAAATTTTCTGACTGTATTTATTAACGTGTTCTTAATAACTTTAAGGATCAAGTTTACAATTAATGAATTACTAGTTTCTGAGAAAAAATAAAAACACATTCTTATGTAAAAACTTGGAAACAAATATGATCTCAATCACATTTTCACTTCAAATAATTTTTCTTTTCAATATTTTGAAAAACCCATCGTTGTTTGTATAAATTATATAATTTAAAATAATTGGCAAAAATATCAAATAATTTAGTCCATATCAGTATAAGTTTTATGAGTTTAAGTAAAAGGATTTATCAAAAAAATGTAAACTGAGAAAACACAGTTTAAAGAATGTAAACTACCTAAACCGTCATCAAATCATTTCAAATTTCTTAAAAATTTTATTGCTGAATTTCAATATCTGTATGTATAATAAAAACCTAGTGCTATTCAATTGGTTAATGTAAACATAAATGACAAGCTTTTATTTAAAGTCTTAGTAAAACACGTTCAAAACAATTTTAATACATGAATTAATTATAATATATTTCTAAAATATTATAATAAATTTTCAAACATTTCTAATTAATATTAATAATATTAATTTTCCATTTTATTCATTTTTTTCAAAAAGCAAAGTTTGAAATTTTAATAGCCTTAAAATATTTTATTAAAGTCATTCAGTAGCATACATGATTTCTTTTCTTCTTTTAACCATCTGGTCTTGTATATAAATTGCATTTAAAATTAATTTAGGTGTATTTTAATTAATTAAAGAGTTAAACTTCGATAGCGTTCTATTATAGCAAAAGTAAACAATGCCAAAAAAGATTAACGTAACTGAAGATTAACCCCATACTGTGTTAATCAGGAAAGATAACACTATTTGCAATTTTTTAACTTCTATTATGATGTGGTGGATATGAGAAATGAGGGACTCAAATTACCTGAACTTTTTTGGGGTGAAAAGCTGTTCATCTTAAAATGCAAGATATGCCAATTATTTTTTAAAAATTAGCTGGACCTGTGGTAGTAATTTGTGTGGAAATTCTTCAGTATCCCTAATGTTTAGCCTATCCAGTATATCCTATATCTTATGATAGTATCGTTAAGCTCCTTTCTGAAACTGTTTCACCAGTAATTGAGAAAGGTTTCCAGCTGAGTTATAAGGAGAAAAAAGGGATTTTACTACAGAACTAATATTGGGTGGCCCAGAATAAACCGGACCAGACATGGGAGACTTCACTTGCTTTGGTTTTGGTTTATCTTGCACTACCTGATATATATGATGATTTCTATGAAACAACTATTGTGTCCTCTATCATTTGATTCTTCAATAAAATAATGATAATATTAATAAATAAATAAATAAAAACCTGAAAGGATTTAGGTTAGTGAAACATTTTATAGAATACTAGATGAATATACATTTAGACTAACATGCAAATGTTATATATCTTCTGTATATTTAAAAGGTGAAAAAATATATAATGTGATTCTATAAAAATATTTGATGTTTTTAATTAGGTATACCATGAATTAAATGCATTGTATTTAAATCAATCAGATTAAAAAGCAAAAAAAATAATATTCTTAAGAGCTGCATTTATTGCTTTAAAATAGTTCTGTCTGTTAATAACTGAATTTGAAAGATAATTATCTTATATTTGCCAAATGGAAACAGATTTGAATGAAAAGTGAAACAACACAATAAAGTGGATGATGCAAAATCATGTTTTGAGACTAGTAGCCTTTTTGGCTAATAAATAAATACATAAAAAATTTAAAAAATGATATTTAAGCTAACATCAGTTCTGTTAATAAATACTGAAAAGTAGAATATTATATCAGAAATAATATAAATACAATTGACAAGAGCTGAAGGAAAGAATAAACCAATCCATATTTCATTTTCTGTTCTTAATTATTGAGTATAAGATGCTTTTATGAACTAAAAATAAAATATCTAAAATAGTGTTACTAAGTTGTTGCAAATACATAAAAAGTATTTATACAGAAAGCTTAGCTTCTTTTTAGCTTAGTAAAAACCTAATAACAAACTTCTTAAATTTTTTAAAAATACATTAGACTTTTTTTATGAAATTCAAATCTTAATCTCTTGTATTTGAAGTCATAAAAGATGTCTTCATCATTATTAAAATGTGCATGTGGAAATAATATATGCACTGATTTTATGAATCATTTTAAACATAAAATAATTATATAAAATTCAAAATTAAAGCTTCAAGGTGCACATGTTCGGACTACGTCTTCAAATTTTGGAGGCTTTAAATGTTACTGTCCTTTCACAGTGTGATACGCTCACTCTCAGATTCTTTGTTTTTTGAGTAATAGAGATTAATTAATGATTTGGAGGTCCCTTGGAATATGGGATCCTTTGTGATTGTGACTTACATGATCCAATAAATCCATCTCTGATTAAAACAAGAATAAAAAATGCATTCTCTCTTTTTTTTTTGTGTAAAAGAATGTTAAATTCTAAATAGGGTTTGTACGGTCCTTAAGAGTCCCTAAATTTTTTAAAATTGATTTTTGGTCCTTAAAAGTCCTTAATTTTGGCCAAAATGGATAGAAGGTCCTTAATTTTAATCATCAGAAATTTCTGTCTGTTTTTATGACTTTCATTTTTAGTGTGAATTAGCATTTTGGAGGAATATTTTTGGCGATTGACTGACAAATATGGCTATCTTTTAAATGGGTTCAGGGGTTATAATATATTTTTATTTCTAATATACACGACAGGACACTTGAGTTTCTGAGCAAGACATGAAACATAATCATTTTGAAATTATTTAATTTTTTCTAATGAAGAGCTCTTAAGCAACTTTTCGCTTTTGGGGATGTGAATTCTTTTATTAAACAGTTCTACATTTGTCGATTTATCAACATTTTGGCGATTTTGAGATCAATTTCTATAGAAAATTTTTAATTCCGAGATTTGGGAATTTTTCGACGATTTTTTTTAAAACATTGTAACATTGATAAATTTCATTAAAATAATGGTAACATATTGTAATTATGTTTAAAAAGTAACATTAAAATAAAGCATTTTTATTTTTTGCTGTCATATTATATAGTTCCATTTTTGCCGCTTATACAATATTTTAAATTTCAAAAATGAACAAGATGTAATGGCACAATTTATGAGACAGTTATTAGCAAAAGCAAAATAGCTATGTAGTTAATAAAAATATTTTCTTTTTAATTTTTTTTTTATGGTAAGAGTGTTTTCCATGTTATTGTCTCAGAATATTCAGAATTCTTAAAATATGCATCAGTTTTCTCTATAAAATTAATTTTACACCTTCCCCTCTGATTTTTTCCCCCAAGATATTTCTGGCTGTTTGCTGTTATAGAATTCGTAGAAGTAATTTTTCTTTAGGATATTAGACACTGCAGCTTGGAAAGTTTAGGATCATTTGAAGGCAAGATTTATAGACCCACGATTCTAGAAGATACCAGAAAAATGCCTCCATGGTATTCAGTTGTAATGGATGTATTTTACAGAAAGTTTGCGAAGAATTTCTTACTTTTTGGAGAACATCTGGAAGAACATTGAAAACATAATAGTTGAATGTTTTACTGCTAAAGCTAAAATCTTTTTTTTTTTTTTTTTTTTTTTTTTTTTTTTTAACATGTTTATCTTCCCCTTATTTTACCTATTTTCTACTAGACACAAGCATGGAAAGTATCAAAAATGCTTGTAGTCTTATGACATGGACAGGCATTATAGAAAGGAATTTTTTCATTAATAAAGAAATTGAAAACTGACAATTTAATAGATTCATCTAATATGTCTTAATGCATCATACACAAGGCTGGCAATAGACATTCTCCCACCTCATTCAATCTCTGTGGATCCTAAATTCTGCTGCCCAGTGCCTTTTTAAATTCTGCTTCCAGTGCCTGCTCTAAATTCTAAAAGTTTTGCCATTTCAATATTTTGTTGCTTGGTGTGTCACTAAATTCTAAAAATTCTGCCACACCAGCTCTGTAACTGGTCCTTACCATATATATTTCATATTTTTTCTGAATGTTCATATGACTAATGAAATAAAATTACCAACTTTTTCTATACATTCTAAATGCATTTAGTTTTTTTAGAATATTAGAAATCTTTAAATTCTGAAATGAAAAGGAAATGTATTGAAGAAAGGAACTGAATGCATAAAGAGAAAGAAAAATTTTCTTCAAAGATATGTACAGTTACTATTATGTAAATTACCCAAATGTTTATAATTTCAGCCTTTACTATAATTTCTCATTTCGCTTTCCTGACCGGAATGCAATCACTTAGACAGTTTTTAAACTGAGGTTTTTGGAGTGTAAGACAAAATGTGTTTCTGACCTCTCCACTTATTTGCTGCATTAGTTCCTGGCAGCTCTGATCATTTGTAACAGCTTTGGAATATCACTGTTGATATTTCAATTTGTTATGATGATAAAGTTACTGAGCTAGCACAAATTAAAATTATATTGTATAGTGTTTGACCAGGAGTCCACATTAGTTTGAATTTGACTCTTCTTGTTTAGTTACATCACCACAAGCTGTAATTGACTTTGTTAGCATAAGAACATGCGTTTAAGGTCTAAGTTCTTTTTTAAATAAGAGGCTTATTTAAACCTTTGTCTGACTTAATAGTTACTTTCAGACATAGCAATAATTTGCTTCATGTCTGGGTGGAGATTTTGGACTATTTAACTTTTACCAGATCAAATAAACCCTCATAGATACATTGTGAAGAGGTTTACAAGTTAGGAGATAGAGCACACAGAAACTATTGAGAACATTGGTTTGTGTATTGAGGCTCTGATTGTTAGAAAAGATGCTTAAAGAGAAGGAAATCAATATAAATTAGCCAGAATGTCTGGGAAGGCTTCAAATTAAAAGGAAGCATAAATATTTTGTTGAGTGTTGTTGCTGCAAAACATAAATGTTTTGTAGGTTTTAATGTGTAATTATCCTAATGTTTTTTAAGAATCAATGTCATAAATTACGTATATTTTAAACTGTGAAATTTGATTAGATTGTGATTTTAAAAGGGCTTTTTTAACAAAGAATATCTAATAGTGGTCATGTAAATCCATAAGGACTAAGGTTATCTTATTAGCTAATTTAATTAAATTATTTATAACTAACTGCTTACCCTTAAAAATTATCTCTGCATATTAAAGGGAGTTATTACGTTTCATTTATCCTTACTATGGTCACAAGATAAGATTAAAAAATGTAAAATTCATGTAAAACTTATTCTTCGCATTTAGTGAGACTTGAAATAATACAAAACAAATTATCATTCTGGTGCTTTGGCTTATTGTAACCTTAACGTACATTACCTAGGTTACAATTCCTGGAACTCTACAGAAGCTACAACACTAATTGCATCAGACAGAGCCCAACTAATTTTTAAAACTTGCCAACCGAGCCTAGATCAGACCCTTCAGGTTTGCCAACTGTTAGTAAAATGCAAATAAATGTCACTTATCTTCTTTTGAATATGTCCAACTATTATAAGTGTAAAATATTTAATGCTACTTGATAAATTTCATAATGTTTATTTTATTCTTAAGTTTATTAATAATTATGTTTAAAAGTAATGCATCCTACTTACGGATCTATTTTATTTTTAGGATTATATTACAAAAGTGAAGTTCAGGCATAGATAATATCGTTAATTGAATTTATTCAGCTCCCATTTGCTGATATATCCTTAATTGTTTTCATTAATGGACCTTAAAAATCCTTAATTTCTGTGTGTAGAAACGTGTATGAACCCTGCTAAATTAACTCATGTATTATTTTCTGCGTAATAATGAAGAAATGAATTTTGAACAATAAAATTGTGTGTTTGATTAAGAAGTAGTAGTTGTATACAGTTATAAGGGAAGGGAATTCAAATATCCTAAAATTATAAAACAAACTTCTCTAAACAGATATATGAAAATTGTAAAAAAAATATTTTTTTTACAGTTTTTATCCTTTTTTTATTTTTAGTCCAAAGTGGCTTTGTTCCTGAAGGACTATTGTTTTCGTTTTGCGGTTTTGCGTTGAAAACTTTAAAAGGCAGTATCACTTTTCAAACCGTTGCTACCAAATAATGCCCTGTATTATGTTTGAAGAAATTAAATAATGAAGAAATGCATAAATGTATGTATGTTTCTCGCATTGGGATAAAAACAATGGTATCTAGAGCCATCCAATTTTGAATGACGTAATCATACTGCGAATATGAACATCTGAAAGCCCAAATTTGAAATTTGGAATTTGTTTTATTATTGATTTCATATTTTGTAAAACTTTAACGAATTTTTGTTTAACAGACACAACGATTTAAAAGTGAGGAATGGCAACACTATTGGTGGGGGGAACCTTTTTTATCTCCAACATGCGGAACTTTGTATTGGAAATTCTAAAGATATGCTCATTTTAAAAATTATTTTGTGACATTGCTGTTGAACTCAATTTTATGGTTAAGTGCAAAGAACATGATATTTAATAAATAAAAGGTAACACACAAAATGTTAAAAAAACACCCCTTTGGACGTAATTTAAAATCTGAAATCTTTCAGATTTTTACTTTTTATAACACGCCTATATTTATATAAAATAATGTAAAGTAATTTTCTCTTATTTGGTGTGTATTTCTTTAAAAAAATTTTAAGAAAAATTATTGCCTTTCATCGTTGTCTTTTCTGTGCTTGATAGTTTTTATATAATTTTTTAATGATTTTTCAGTGATAACATGAAATCTGCAGAATTCTAAGATTCCTCCAACCTTATATATCAAATTGCGCAGATTTTTAATCTTCTAGTGTGTAATCCCTTTCATTTATGAATAGCATGTCACTGTCAATTGGGGATAAAATAGGTCTTTAAATTCTATGCATAAATTCAAAATGAACTTAAAATTATTTGCTTATGTTTTCCATAGATTCCTGGAGTCCTTGCTGCAGTTGATGCCACAAAAGAAAAGGCACTAGCTGAGCGATTTAAAATAAATGGCTATCCTACTGTTAAATATTTTAAGTAAGTGTCCTTCAGTTTTATGGAAGTCTTTGTAAATCATAGTTTAGTCTTTAATCTGCACATGGTTTTGTTTCTGGGTTTGTGTAAAGTGTTTTCGTGGTTTTCCCCATGTGTAACATGTATACGAGCCAGTTTCCCTTAGAAAGTCCTCCACGAAGGCATCTCTCCCCTTAGGCAGATAGCCCTAGTGTGCTTTACCGTAACTAAATACACCACCACCACCACCTGTGTCTTTGTTTAAATCAAGAAATCTTTAACATTCCAGATTTCATAAATGTCGTAATCCTCCTTTTTTTTTTTTTTGCTTATCTACAAATATACTTGTATTTGTAATATTGTATGCAAATGTACTATAAAATAATAACTTATTAATGGAAAAATGTAAAAAAAAATCTGATGTGTACACCACATGATTTCCTTGTGTAGAGTATTAAGTTATATGCATTTTTTCCAGCATTTCATTTAAACTTATTTCCTCGAATTTCATTAAACATATATTTCTCATTCAAATAATTCATTTCTCACTTTGAGACAAGGCAAAAATACATAAAAACTCAAAATACCTATATTAAAAATTGAAAGATATAGAAAAACATAAAACATCAATTACAGTTAGAACAATATTTTTTTTTTTTTTTTTTTTTACTGTGCAAAAACAAACATTTTGGCCAGCGGGGCAAGAAGGTGGATTTTTTGGTGCAGAAAATTGGAAGTTTACTTTTGGTCTCTCAGGAAAAATACATTGAAGGCTGACTTAATTTGTTGTGGACGCTATGTTGAGTCAGTATATGGGATAATTTAATAACTTAAATGATAATTCCAGAATGCATTAAGCATAAGTTAGTTAGCAATAATAAAAGAAGATGTTACTTTTTGATTGCAAAGCTTAGTTTATCTAGATCGGCAATAAAGTCACTATTCTGCTATGTTTCTTATACAAACAAATATGGCTGCTATGGTAAAAAAAATAGGTTTAGCCACACTTAAACAACTTTTAAATTGTTGATAATTCTACAACTACAACTACGAGGGCTATCCAGAAGTAGATTACGTTTTGAATAAAAAATAAACAAGTATAGGAAACAAATTTTATTATATCAGATGAAAAGCACACTCAAATACTACTTTTTCTACATAGTCACCATAAATTAAGGCATTTCTCGTAGCGATACGAGCTTGGAAATTCCTTCGTCGAAAAATTCGGCCGCCTGCGCCTTAACCACTTGTTACCTCTTCTGCCTTCCATCTTGCACAAAACTGTGGTAACCAAGCTTTTCGCTGATGATTTCGTGCAACAAACTTCGCGAAATTTGTGGAAAACTCAAAGAAAGTTCGTTATTGTGAAATTTCGATTTTCACGACTTTAGCATCGACTTTTTCGAGAAGTTCGGCGGTCACTATGCTGGGTCTCCCACTTCGATCTTCGTCGTGAACATTGGTTCGGCCATTGAAATCTTATGACCCACTGACGCACTCCACCTTCAGTGATAATGTTGTCCCCATACACTTCACGAAGCTGCCGATAGATTTCTATCGTTTACAGTTTTTTGCAGTCAGAAACCTTATTACTGACGCACCTCGCAGCTCCGGGATTTTCAATTAACGCAGACATTTCAAACCGTCACAGATTGAACGGAGCACAGCACGAACCTCTCACTAGCACGGCTAGATGCAGACTGAGCTGCGCAACGCTCTGACCCCAAGATGGCCGCGCTAGCCCCGCCCTAGCGGACACAGACGGAAACGTATCTACTTCCTGGATGGCCCTCGTACAACATGCAAGTTAACAAAAAACATAAAAACCTTAACAGGAAGATAAGAATATAATTCAATCATTTTTAAAGCAAAAAAATGCACAATTTACAATCACATAGGAATAAAGAAACTGAGCTCGGTGAGCCGAGTAACAGAGTAGATATATATATATACATATATTGTTTCACATGAAAATAGTAAAGTTAAATTAAATTAAAATAATTCTCTTGCGCCATTGCTGCAAGGAATGAAATTTGAATTTAACAAATATTCTCTATTCATATAAAGCAAATGCAATTTTTAGGAATAATAAATTTTTTGGAATCATATATTTTTTCATGGTTTTAGATAAGTTCAATTAATTCACATATGCTCTTAGAATTTAAATGATATTGTAAAATAGTTTGCAGCAAAAATAATTATTTTCATTTTTATTCTTTGCAATTAAAATTTTTTAATTATATTTTAAATTAAAATTTTATATTTACTTTATACGAACAGAGAATTTTTTATTTGCTTTATATGAATAGAGAATTTTATATTTGCTTTATACGAATAGAGACTATTTGTTATATACATATATTTATATACTTTTGGTGCGGCCGATTGCAACCAAAGAGAGAGGTGCACATCTACATGTTATAGCAGTCCCACATACAAAATTTTAACGTTCTGAGGCTATTCATTTTCAAGTTATGTGAGATATGTACATACATACATACATACAGATGCCACTGAAATAATCTCTTCTGAATCCATTTTAAATCAATTTTATAATTTGTTTTGGGAAAAAGAGTATTTTATTCTGTTGTTGTGTAGCGAATTTAATTTAATTAAGTGATTCATAAAAATCAAAATTTTAAGTTGTAATTATTCAAAATTTGAGCTACACAAGTTTGGTTATATTCTTTTTGGGCCTATTAATTCTAATGTAATATATTTTGGCTTTCCGAGTTTACGCGAACTGCGTCTTCAATCTTGTACACGCAAACAATGGATAAGTATTTTTGTTTCTGCGTAATAAACTCAGTTTTTCATGTCAAAAATTAATTTGATTTCTTAGTATTTAATATCATTAGTTGCAGAAAAATTAGCTCTTTAATTTGGCATAACTTTCATTTTTCAAACTTTAATTGCATTTCAGTTATGAGCTTTAATTAGTAGATTTTCTTCATTTCGCTTGTGATTTAGTTAAAGGGGGATGAAATGCCTTCTTTCCGGTTGAAAAAGTCACTTTTTGAGAGTTTTCAGCGTTCTTTCATTGGGACCCTCGCAGGGTTGTTGAAATTCCTAATCTCCCCCGGTCGCAGGTGGCAGTTATTTGGCGAGGGTTTGGCGACTTGGATTTTCCGTTGAGGTTTCAAAATAGTGGTTTTGGCGAGTTTGATAACATGAGGGTATGCTGTGGTTGCAACTATTTCAACTTTCGGCGAAAAATGGGTTGCGCCATCTTGGCAGTCCGGCGCTCCTCCCTTTTAACGGGTTGTTTTAGGGGACGAGCTCACTTTTTGACACTTTTTGCACTTTACTTCTGTTGCCCTTTGAATTGGCCGGAGGCGACAGCTGACTCCGACGAAGAAAATGGAGCTTCTCCCCGATAGGCCTACGGGCCTCTTGGCTAAGCGCTGTGAGCGCGGGCCGTAAGTATGGGCATCTATGTCTTCAAAAAAAAAAAAAAAAAAAAAAAAAAAAAAAAAAATCGAAATTCTTTTATCAGTTTTTGTCGTGTGTGTTTGTGTATCTCCAGGAAAATATACAGAAGTAAATTTCTAGAAAAATGATGCGCACCATTGATTCGTCGCTTCACTCGAGACCAGAGCGTTAATTTAAAACCGTTGTTTTTGGAACCTCATTTGCTCATCCTAAATTCTACTAGAACTTCAAGGCTACCATAATGAATAATTTAAAACCGTTGCTTTTGGAACCTCATTCGCTCATCCTAAAATCTACTAGAACTTCAAGGCTACCGTAATGAATCCATACTGTTCTACGAACATTTTTTTTTCCTTAGATTAATTAAATATGGTTTTAACCGGATAAAGATAAGTAATGACACATTTACTATTCTACAAACAAGTTCGTCCTGAGAAAGCAAGAATGCTCTAATACAGGCACTATTTCAAATCATCCTCACCAATGAGTAACTCAAAAAAAAAAAAAAAAAAAAAAAACATTTAAGTAAATAATTTCCTGAAGAACTTAATTTTCTTAACCATTAAGTTAAGTTACAATAATTTTAATAAGGTTATAAATCTTTATTCCATTTAATGCTTTTACTTGATTGATACCCAAAGAAAATGATTTCTATAGAGTTAGGATAAAGTTATCAACTACAAAAAAAATTTAGGGTTCAACAAATTAACAAATTAAGTTAATTCAATCATTTTAACTGCAGAAATCTATAATATTTAACTAACCAAGATTTAACCAAAAAGAAACAGGAACTTATCTGTTAAGGAGCATCAAACAAAAGAAATCCATCGAAGCTCATGAGGAATGCTGGCAGCCTGTTGAATGAAAAAAAAAAAATGTTCGTCGAACAGTTTGGATTCAATTACTGTAGCCTAGAAGTTCTAGTAGATTTTAGGATGAACAATAGGTTCCAATACGGCAAGATAAGTGAAATACAGTGCTGGCGGCCTGTTGAATGGAAAAAAAAAATGTTCCTAGAACAGTATGGATTCATTACGGTAGCCTTGAAGTTCTAGTAGATTTTAGGATGAGCGAATGAGGTTCCAAAAGCAACGATTTTAAATTATTCATTATGGTAGCCTTGAAGTTCTAGTAGAATTTAGGATGAGCAAATGAGGTTCCAAAAACAACGGTTTTAAATAACGCTCTGGTCTCGAGTGAAGCGACGAATCAATGGTGCGCATCATTTTTCTAGAAATTTACTTCTGTATATTTTCCTGGAGATACACAAACACACACAACAAAAACTGATGAAAGAATTTCGATTTTGTTTTTTTTTTTTTTTTTTTTGAAGACATAGATGCCCATACTTACGGCCCGCGCTCACAGCGCTTAGCCAAGAGGCCCGTAGGCCTATCGGGGAGAAGCTCCATTTTCTTCGTCGGAGTCAGCTGTCGCCTCCGGCCAATTCAAAGGGCAACAGAAGTAAAGTGCAAAAAGTGTCAAAAAGTGAGCTCGTCCCCTAAAACAACCCGTTAAAAGGGAGAGCGCCGGACTGCCAAGATGGCGCAACCCATTTTTCGCCGAAAGTTGAAATAGTTGCAACCACAGCA